GCATTCAAGGTTTTTAAAAGCTGCATAAAATCTTGCTTTATTTTTCTTCACATAGTAAAAGAACTGAAATGTGGGATACATGGATTTTGCATTACTCCGACCCTGTTTGTAACCTTGGTCAACTCAACTAGAAAAAAAACAACCTGTGAATAGTTCAGTAGTTGTTTTTTAAAGTATGGTATTTCTCATGTCTAGTTTCTTAGGAACAATGTAAATCTTAAACTGCAAGTTGTATTTGTTGTATTCGGAAGTCATTTCTGTAGGAAATTATGTCTACAACAAGAGCAGAAAGGGTTTATTGCAGTTCTGGCAGAAGTAGACAAAAGTTGAAGGATGCATCTCCACTGGAAAAGAAGCCTTCTGACAATTGGGGCTATGTCTACACAGCGGAACTATTTTGGGATACCAACAGCTACTCCACATCTTAGGAGAAAGCCCGTTATATCAAAATATAATGGGCTTACTATTACGACAACCCTGTAAACCTCATTGCACAAGGATTAAGGGACGTTTCAGAATAGCGCTTTATTTCAATATAACATTGAAATAAGATTGAAACAATATAAGCTACGGCTGCAGTGTAGACACATCCTGGAAGACAAGTTGGATAGAAGCAGATACCCACCCACAAGTGACCATTAGGTCATGGGAACAGATACTCAAGAAGAGAAACAGAGTAAGGAATTGGCAGTTGAGAAGCAGGTCAAAGTTGGTTTTGACCCGGGGGATAGTTGGAAGGAAAGAGCATATTAGAGCTCTTAAGAGTGAGAGAGTTGTAGAAAAGGCAGGTGGGGAGAGAAGAGAACAGAGCAAAGCCAAAAAAAATATATTCATTCTGAATGTTAAAGGGTTAATAAGGATCTTAAGACTGAATAAATTCTGTTTGGAAAGAGATACTGGATTTGGATCTATTTTCTTCATGGAAATATACTTTCTTATTAGTATTTTACTTTAAATGACTCCAAGGGGTAGCTGTGTTAGTCTGTAACTTTAAAAACCACTTTTAGATTCAATGAATTAAATTAAAGAAAAGCTAAAGCATGCTAGGGAGGTATATACACTTCCAGATGCTGCCTTCGGTTCTGCCATACTGGGCAACAAGAATAGTTTTCAAAGCTGTCTCCATTTAACATTAGGCAGTGCTACTGTTGCCAGCTATCAGCTATTACATTAACTATCAGTGTGCAGCCACCACAGGGTTGTAAATTTTAAGCATAGTGTAGCACGCCTTGCTTTGTAAATGAGTAAGCTGCCCCCTGCCAGGTAGACAATAATATACTCACTGGAAATTAGCTGCTCTCATGGCTTAGCATGATTACCCAGAATGATTGAGAAAGTGTATACATGGGGGGGGAGAAATAAAATGGAGATACATTGAAAAAGAATACATTAAAATAAAATAAAAAAAAACTCAGCTCATGAAAGAGGCACCTGGTAACTGTTTATAAACCCCAGGTTCCCTTTGTTAGTTTCCTTATGACATCATTATAAATTACACACTGATTATGTTCACTATTCTATAATTTTGTTTCTATAAAAATAATTGTAATACCCCTATTAATTCCAGTCTTGAGCATCATTTTTCAAACATGCTCTATCATTTAAAAGGTGACAAAAAAGTGCAGACAGCTCTCTTAAACATAAATAATTTGTGAAACCTGAAATTGTATCTACTATTTGTATTTATGATCATCATACAACACCTGACTTTGTAAATCTTTACTTATTAGAGATGATGATCAAGAATTTTCCATGTAAATTGTTTTTTGACAGAAAATTGGGCTTTTGAACTAGATAATTTTTTTGGCTTAAAGCCTCTGATCTACATGGGAAATTTTGATTTTTCTTTGAAAAACTGACTAAAAACCTTCTAATCAAAAACCAAAACTGTTTTTTTAAAACTTTCCTTTAAAAATACCCAAACCATTTCCTATCCAGCACTATTTATTAATGAAAAATCCTTTTTCCATGCATATCCACAATGGATTCAATACAACCACCTATGTGAATAAGGGATTTGGGGGTTGTGCTTATTTATGTCATGTACAGCACAGAGCACACTAACAGTAGATGTATCCCTCTTTCTTAAATGTCATACTTTTGACATGAGATGTGACATTCCTACGGAGGAGACTATAACCTTTAACTCTGATATTTAACAATGGTGTATCAATTTAAAAATGAAATAATTAAACAAGAGGTTTAATTGAATATTATAAGATTTTCTTTCAACTACTAGACCATTTTAAAACAGAATGAAAACTGCTGAAGACTCTCTGAAGTTAGATACTCCTATTGTTAACATCACAAATTATATCAATTGCTGGGCAATAGCTGTAATAAAGCAACATTACAGTATGAACAAATATTAAAAATTACTTTTCGGTAATACCAAGCAACAATTCATGTGACAACTGTAATTGAATATTACAATTAATTAAATACAGAAAATAACTTACAGTAGCTTTATGTTCATAGGTCTTTTAGCCACTAGCATAAATCTCTGCGATATGCACTAAGTTTATCACTGCACCATCTAGCAACGCCAGTGTCGGCACTTCTACTTTTTAATCTACCCTAGGATTTGCCACAGGGAAAAAAATAGTACGGCAAAACTGTGGTGCTAGGAATAGTGATGAGTTGCACATTCAATTCCTCCTTTGGGTATGTTTTTTTATATTTTGATTTTTAATTATTTAATGATGAAGCACTCTGGGAAGAGATGTTTGGCTTCCTTACCACCACCCCCATCAGAAAAATAATGGCCTAAGGGACTCTGTCTTCAGTGGATGAAGAAATCATGGGATCAGGAATCATGCCTTAGAGCAATGGTTCTTAAACTGGGTACACAGAGGTCTTCCAGGGGATACATCAACTCATCTAAATAACTTGCCTACCTTAACAGGCTACATAAAAAGCACTAGTAAAAAGTCAGTACAGGTTGAACCTCTGTAAACTAGGACTCTCTGGTCCAGCAACATACATATGTCCAGCAGGCTGGCAGGGCAGCAGGCTGGTAGGGCAATGAGTAGGCACAGAGCAGGCCCCTCCCTGCGTGCTGATGTAGAACATCATGGCCATGTTGTCTGTGAGGACTCGGACCTGACTGGTAAGGGAGGAACATTTCACTCGCCCTATGAACAACCATAAGCTCCTTGATATTTATATGGAGGTCTGATTCATCCAGAGATCACTCTCTCTGCATCTGGAACATGCCAAGATGGGTGCCCCATCCATGATCCAAAGGGTCGGATACCAGTTTTATGGAGTGTTAAGCCAACTGGAAGGGTATGCCTGACATGACATTCTCCAGCACAGACTACCACCTAAGGGAAGGACCTGATGCAAAATGGTAAGCACCCAGTCCTGGATTTTCTGGGGTGTCTTACAGGAGATTACATCGAGGCCACCCACAGCTTCATGAGCCTGGTGAGGTGCACCATGTGTGTGTATGCTGCCATGTGTCCAAGGATGCAAAAGTAGCCCCTGGCCATGGTCAGCAGCACTATGGAGACTTGTGCTATAAGGATCATCAAGGCCTCAAGGAAGTGATGCTCAAGCTATGGTCAAGTCCAGCACTGCACCAATGAACATGAACCTCTGAACTGGTGCTAACATCGACTTTTTGTCATTTACCAGGAGCCACAACCTCTAACACATGCTCAGCAGAAGAGTGACACCCTCCTGAATCTTGGCTTCCGAGCTGTCAGCTGTCGAGATAGCTATAGACCTGGATGCCCTGGCACCTCAGATAAGCCACTGCCACCAACATGCACTTTGTAAGCACCCTTGGGGTCATGGCCAGTCCAAAGGGAAGTACCATGCATTGATAATGGTTCAGACCTACTGATATCTCCCTCACAGACCATACGGGGCAATGGGAGGGCTCTCTTCTCCACCTGAGTAGGAAAGCAAGAGCACCAGACACAATGACTTCCCTCTATGTAGAGGCCCAGGCAGTGCCAACTCATAGTCCTGAGTCATCTGAAATGCCTTCAGGATTGAGGGAACTTGGATACTCATGGTGGACAGCGGGGAAAAAGGAGAGCTGTCCTGTTCCACCTGGACTGGTGTCTTGTCAGGCTCATATTCTCCCGTGTGCTGCCTTGTGTACTTTGTCTTCAATTTACAAGGAAAGGTGTCCTTGCCCACTTTTTTGGACCTCTTGGATGGAACCACTGAAGATGCCTGGTGCTAGATTGACAGGGCCGGGGGAGTATTCTGCACCAAGGCACTGGTGCTCGCTGCCGAGCCGAGCACTGGTCTTGGGGAACAAGAGTGAACTCTATGAGTAGGGCCTTTAACAGGATGACCCTGCCTTTTATTGTCAAGGGACAAAAAGGTCTGCACATCTGACACTTCTCGAAGATGTGGGCTTCTCAGAAGTAGTGAAAGCAAACAACATGAGGGTTGCTAACTGGCATAGGCCTGACGCAGTTAAAGCATACTTTAAAAGCCAGGGGAGTGAGGCATGCCTCTTCCCAGAGCTAAGTCCCTAATGGGGTCTAACTGCTGGAATACAACTTATTTACCACTGTTGGAGGGGAGCCACATCTGCTCTGATTTAAACAGCACTGATGTCACACTCCCTTTTTTTCCCCCTTCAAGCATCTGAAAAAGTGAGCTGTCTTTCATGAATGTTTATGCCTAATAAATTTGTTAATACTGCGGGACTGTACAAATGTGCACCATCAGCAGAAACCAAAAACCCAAAATATGTACAAAGGGCTTGAAGCAATAAATTTAAACTTATTATATGACTCTGAAGGACAAAGTAAAAAGTAACAGTTATATAGGACTTCAGAATTTATTTCCTTAAGAACAAGATTATTTTTTCAAGACTCTTCCAAGGCCATTATTATTTAAATATTTGTTGGTTTTAACTACTAAGTACTCTTTTTACCCAAAATATGCAGGATGTCTATTTTCTCAGATCTTAGAAAATGTATTAAATGCATCATTTAAAGTTATTATCATTACTGCTGTTCTATAAAACTTACTTCTGTTGGCGTGAAATACAATGAACATTGCAATGTCGACTTCCCTTCTAACTCCACAGAATATAAATATGGCCTCCAAGGATAATAATCAACCACTGTGAGACAAAATACAGAGATAATTAAGTGTTACAATAGTATATGTCAAACATTTGTAAAAGCAACTATACTACAAAATGATTTCCAATATAGGGCGGATATAATTTTCTTGGTGATGTATTATGGCTCAATTCACTATTTCTTAGTGGTAAGATACAATCTAACCCTGAGAAGTGCTGGTCATCAACAGCTTCCATTTACATCATCAGGATCTGGTGTGCTAGTACCTCTGAGAATCATGTCTTTTATCTTCAATTTTCATTTTAAAAAGATTGCTCCAGGAAAAAATACTTACTAAAATAATGAACCTACAAGAATATTTATGTTCATTCTGTGCTACTGAAGATAACACAACAGAGTCTTACCTTAGCTCAAAGGGTTTCTAAACTACACTCTAAATTAATGGTACGAGAGTCAATGCATGACATATCCCATTCACATGCCGGTTGTTTACACGTGAATCTCTAGAACTTCCACCATTGAGGCTACATCTAGACTACAGGCTTCTTTCGGAAGAAACTTTTTCAGAAGAGATCTTCTGAAAAAACTTCTTTTGAAAGAGAGCGTCCACACAGCAAAAGTGCATCAAAAAAGCAATCTGCTTTTTTGAAAGATAGTGTCCACATTTATTGGACGCTATCTCGCATTTAAGTTGTGATTACTATGGACAGAGTGGCCACTAGGGGACGTGTGCTTTTTCCTGGAGGCCTCTTCTTTCAAACAAACAAACAAAAAACACACTTCTTTCCCATCCACACACATGTTTTTCCAAAAGAGCTCTTCTGGAAAAAGGCTTCTTCTTCTTCTTCCTCGTAGAAAGAGGTTTACAGCTGTCAGGAAACCCCCTGCATTCTTTTGACTTTCTGTCAAAAGAATGCAATTGCAGTGTGGATATAAGGGTAGTTTTCCCAGAAAAAATGGCTGTTTTGATGGAAAAACTCTGCAATGTAGACATACTCTGAGTTCCTGGATTGCAGAAGAAGGAAGAGTTCCCCAACAAGCCTATTAAAATTTATATGTAAAAATGAAAAAAAAATGAAAAAAATAGATATCCTGCTGCTGTTGTGATTGGGCTATTATCACTGGTGTTTCTAACTCTTTTTTTCATTGTCATAATGTTAACCAATTGCTTTTTTTTTCCCCCAGAAGGATTCTGAGGCCAGATCCACATTAAAAAGTTAGATCGACCCAGCTATGTCACTAAAGGGCATGAAAAATCCAACCTCTGAGCTACATAGTTAAGCCAGCCTAACTCCCAGTAGGCCAACATAAGGATTCTACAATCAACCTAAGCTACCACCTCTACCTGAGGTGGACTAACTACAGTGACGGAAGAACCCCTCCAGTTGCTATAGTGAGTATCTGTGCTCAGGAGCGGCTCGAGGAGAGCTGCCAGCAACTGGCGCCCTAGGAGGAATGCGCAATCGGCGACCCTGCCTCCATAGCCCTCAATGGCATGACATCATCATTGGGCGCCGTGTTTAATGCGGCGCCCTAAGCAACTGCAGAGGTTGCCTACATCCATGGGCTGCCCCTGCCTATACTGAGGATATGTCTACATAAACTAAAGCATAAATCCAGGCTCAAGCCTAATTCCTCCTCCCCCACCATGCAACTACACTGCAATTGCATTTACCCATGCCCAGACCTAGGGTCCCATAACACCACAGGGCTAGGGGTCCAACATCAATTCAAGATGAGATCCAAGATCCAAGAGCTATTATTTTGCAGTGTAGATACAGCCCCATTTGACTCGGTGTCATTCAGAACTATCCCATAATTTCATGGGACAAATTCCTAAACCCTCTCTAACCCAACAATCTGCAATCCACTCTATTAAAAATGGAAGACACATACTCTTTTCAAAGGGCAGCAGCACAGTACAGCCATGAAAATCCATGGATATCCACTTTATACCCATGGATATTTACATCCACAGACCATTTTTCAGATTGTGGACCAGATACAGATATAAATTTTCTACCTGTGTAGGTCTCTAAATATAGGATCTCAAAGTTAGGGAAGCAGCTATCTGCAGTTCAGTCTATGAAGCTGCCTTCCCCTCTCTGGATCCTACATTAAATCCCTCATGTTGATTTATTGTGTAGAAACAGCTGCCTCTCTCTCCAACAGACATGATACTGCAATAAGCCAGGATAATTTTCCTAAATTGTGTGGCAGCTTAAAATGCTGTGAAAGCAGCATGGGGGGTTTTGCTCCCTGTCCTGATCTTTTACCACCACTTATTCTGTATATTTCCTGACCCTCTGTATAGAATCTTAAAGTCAGGTAATCAGCCACATAGGTTATGAGCTGCAAACAGCTGCTTCTCCATCTCTGAAATCCTACTTCCAGAGGCTTCTTTCTTTCCTGCCTGGGGACAACACTTCTCCTCTCCTCTCTTCCCCTACTATTTCCCTCTTTTCCTCCTGTACTTTCAGGTATGTTGTTGTAAGGAACAGTGAAGTACAGTCATGGTGTCACTTCCCCCCTTTATATCTTCTTCCAACATGCTGGAAAGCTCTTTTGCTGTGACTTGGGTCAAAAAATTCCCATTGTGAAATGCTATCTCTGAAATGTTTCTATTGTATATAGTTCCTGAGATAATCCTTGTACTTGTGTGCATTTCCTCCATAAGCCATCAACATTGTTTGGCCTTTTATTATTGTACCTGAAAAGTGGCATGTGGATGTACTCAACCTCACAACATGTTTCAGTACAATATACCTAGCAAACTTCATAGCACATACAATCCGAGGCACTAATGTTTAACAGAACAAGACTTTTAGAATGATACCTCATAAGTGTAACAGACTCCAAACCAGAAGCCTCCAAACCAGAAGAGAAACAGGTATAGCTTTCTCTTCCCTGAATGAATTCCTAGAGACTGCTGCCACAAAATGAAGGCAGGTGGACACCTGAGGCTAGTTAATGGCTTGCCGGAAGAAGTAAGCTAATTAAACACCTACAGCCAATTAAAGCTGGTGGGGCTGCTTTAAAAGGTTTCCCCCCAGATAAGGAGAGGAGAAAGACAAGGAGTGATGGACCAGAAGGAGGATGTGCATGTACACTCACACTCACTCGCAGGTACCGGGGGAGGTACTGGGAGGAGTTGTTTGGGTAAGTGGCCCAGGGAAGAAGCTGCCAGATTAGAAGTAAAAACAAACTTCCTCAGCACCAACACAGAGACTGCTCTGAGAAGGGAGTCCAGGACTATAGAGTGGCTTTCACTTTTGCCTGTGATGAATGGTTTAGCAAGCTGTGCACCCTGCCTCCTGTAAAGAGAAAGAGGCTGTGTGAAGGGCCACAGCCAGGGTGTTGGCTTCAGGCACAAAGTGTTACACAGTGCACCCTCCAAGAGAGCCTTCGCTGTCTTTAGTCACACAATTAAGGATAACTATACTTCATATAAGCCAGAAATTGCCTGATTTAATGTTTTTTACCCAGCAACATTTCAGAGAAAGTCAGCTGTCCCAAAGATAACATATAACAACACAATTCAGGGCAGGTAGATATCTCTGCAGTACTAACTTATATTGAAAAAGGTGTCAGGCTTAGCTCTGGCATAAAGTAAGCACTGGCTGGGAAGCCTGGAAAGCCCTCTTATTCCCCTAACTCCTGCACTCACTCCTTACCCTTAGCCCTTGGACCCCAACGCCTGTGCCCATATGGGGAAACTAACCTGAAGTCAGAGAATACTTGTCGTTGTTGTTCCTCTCCCCACCTCATATATTCTTAGGTTGGCACAGAAAGTGACTTGCCAAGCCAAGATGTGTGGGGACTCAGACCCAACAAAAATTAAGCGCTGTAGCCCTGTGATTGTATTCTTCTTACATGCTTCCAAGGGAGAACAGACTCCCAGTCCCTTGCATTAGCTGGACTATTGAGAGTATCATCAGCTTCAGTCACCTCTTTATCAGCAACTCACACTGGGCAATGCAGATAATCTCTTAACCTTGTTTGGGGAGCTTTTTGATCAACTTCAAAACCCAAGCAATCTCCCAGAGGAATTAATACTCATGATTTTTCCCCTCTGACTGGTAAAACATTTCACCACATGCATCAAACAGTTTTATTGACCGAGACCTTAGCAGGGTTTTAAATCAATGGAACAGTACAGACTGCAACAAAAAGTGCTGAGCAGGAAGCCTGGAGACTGACAGTTACAGGACAAAGAGGCAAATACTTCCTCCTCAGCCCCTGACATTCTAGCAGTTGGGAGAAGACTGCAAATGCTGAGCAATAAAGTCAGATGGAAATACACTGCTAATTTCCTCAACACACAAACTGCCACTGGGGAAAAACAACCATAAGCCAAAGAGCTGGTGGTTAGTGCAAAGAAAAGCGAAGTTACTCACCTCAGTGCAGTAACTGTCGTTCTTCGAGATGTGTGTCCCCGTGGGTGCTCCACTGTAGGTGCTGGGCTTACCCTGATGCCGCAGAATGGAGACTTTTTTTCAGTAGCAGCACCCGGCCGGACCACGCATGCACAGTGGCATCTCACGGTGTTCGCGCCACTTTGAATGCATGCGCGGTCTGGCCCTCGCCAGTTCCTCGAGGCCACCTTGGAATCTGAAAGGCATAAAGGAAAAATGGACTCCAAAGCGGGGAGGAGGGTGGGAAGTGAAGCACCCATGGGGACACACATCTTGACGAATGACAGTTACTGCACCGAGGTGAGTAACTTCGCTTTCTTCTTCGAGTGATGTCCCCGTGGGTGCTCCACTGTGGGGTACATCTAGACTACATAGCTCCGTCGACGGAGCCATGTAAAGTAGTTTACTCAGCATAGTCAATGAAGCGGGGATTTAAATAATCCCCACTTCATTAAATAAAAATGGCCGCCGCTCTTTGCCAACAATCAGCTGATCCAGCACAGCGCGGCACTCTAGACGCGGCACGGTCGACAAAAGAAGCCTTTGTCAACCACTCCAGTAAAGGCTCCTTGAAACAAGGTTTACTGGAGCAATCAACAAAGGCTTCCTTTGTCGACCGCGCT